CCATCGCTCTGCCCCCCGGGGTGAGGCCTGCGCAGCTTAGCTTAGTGGGGCTCCCCCCAACGCCGGCCTGGGGTTCCTGAGCACGTTTTGGGGGAGCAGGGTTGAGAGCCTGCTGCTCTGGATCCTTGGCCTCTCCTGCATCCAGGGGATGGGAGCCTCCTCGGTTACAGCTGTTCCCAAACTCCTCTCTGGGGCCCCCCCCGGGGCTATTTTGTGCCCAAGGATGCGGATCCTGAACCTCACTCAACCCCCCCCTCTCCCCACCAGCTCCACAGCTGCCACTCTCAATTCGCAGGCTTGGTTGTGTACTTCCATGGGAGGGTTTTTTTGTGGGGAGGGTCCATTGGCTGGGGGTCGATTCTCGAGAGCCCCGAGATCCAGAGGCAGGAGGAGGGGGCAACGGGTTGTGTGGCAGGGACGTTCCGATTGCACCAAAGCTCGGAATTGCCTTAGCTCCCTTGCAACGGGTCTGGTCTGTGCCCATCAAGTCCGGCTCTGTGGCCTCTTGGCTGGGTTTCTCTTCTGCCCACTCTGAAGATCAAAATCATGAGCGTGTTTGGAAGTGTCTGTCTCCGGTGTGGCTGCCTGTGGTGCTTCCTTGGCTCCCGTCACCACAGTAGCTGAGCAGTTTGTAATATTTATCCCCCCCAGTCTGCTGGAGGGAGGGATGTGCTTTTCACTTGGGGGGACCTGTACCCCTAGCGGTATGCAGCGGTCTTCCAAGGGTACCCCAGCTCTTCTGGTTTAGAGCAGACCTACACAAAATGTGCTAGCAAAGTCTGTTCAAACTCAAATTTCAGACCTACCATGGTTCATTGGTATTAGTCTACAGGCTATAATGCTGAAATAAAAGGACAGTTTTTATCATCCAGTTGGCTTATTTTATAATTAGATGGGAAACAGGAGAAATGCAGCCACTTTGCAATAACAGCAAGCTGGGACACTTGATTATTTTTGTCTAGTCGTTTTTAAGTGGGGTGAAATGTGGGCATGTGCAACACAGATCAGACCCCAGCAAGGGGAACTGGTGTTTGGAAAGGCCAAGAGCCATTGCTTAAGGAGACTAGGGGCATGGAAGCGAAATGCCTTCATGCAGTGGTTGGGGGAGGGTTTAACAGAGCATGGAATTGAACCTAGCTCCCTAAGTCCTAGGCTGGGCTCTAACCACTAGGCTCACCATCCTCCACCCCCACCAAACTACTTACTTGTTAACATTTGTCTTGCAACAGTAGCTAGGTGCCCCCCTTGGCTAGGTGCTGCACTGACACAGTGCGAGAGAGTCCTTGCCCTAAAGAGCTTACCGTGTCAACAGACAAGACCGCGTGGGAGGGAAACTGAGGCACAGAGCTGCTCCATGACTGGCTCACGGTTACATCCAGGGCTCTGTCCGCTAGAGCCAACTGATCCTTGGAAACAACTAATCCCCCTCTAGCCTGACGGCTCTTTCTCGGCTTCTCCTTGGGGTGATCCCAGCGGAGCAAGACCTTGGAATCTTGTGTCCCTCGGCTTATGGCTTTTAAGGCCCCTCGTGTTTAAAAAGCTTCTGCTTTGCACCCCCCTCTCCGCTTGTCCCCGCTCAGAGCCAGCCTGCTTGTGGAAAGCCGTCCGGTTTTTCCCAGTGCTGGACTGGGGTGGGAGGGGAGATGGGGTGGGGTGAGGGAGCTGCCCATGGAGCTGGGTTACACCAGGTTCTTCTGCCTGCCTGCGCTGTCCTGACCCTGCCTCTGTCTGTCCTGCAGAACACAAGGTGATCATTGTGGGCCTGGACAATGCAGGGAAAAGGC